CTCAATGTTTTATATATTTTTTCCTGACTCTATAAATTTTTTTGTTTATTACAGTCTTGGTTTGAATACATTGATAGATTTTTAACTTTAGTTCATACATTTCTAAGTAGTATACATACCTACCGACTGTAGTAAATATTTGTGAGCACTTTTAACTCCTTAATGCTTCATTCCAATATTTACGTAAAAAAAAAATCTTTTATAACAAAATCAATCATAATCAAAATATTAGTCGTTCAATATTTTAATGCATATTAAATGATGATTTCCTTTCAACATAGTTAACCTTTAAAATTATTCTGCGTATTTTGTAAAACAGAAACGCTTGTTTGATCACAATTGCATTATACTTAGGCGGCCATATTGGAATTGAATGATTAAATACGTGTTGTGTATATGTTAATATATTAAATAGAGGTAATGGAAAGTTTCGCGATCCACTCGCTTCTGAAAGTTTCCTTACACGCGTCCTCAGAGACTATTGCGTCAACATCGGCTTTGTTCACTTGAAATCAACACTGTTGTTTAGAACTTTCTATCGACAGAAAAGCATTTGAAGGTTATGGTCACAGAACATGTAAAATTATCAGATGTTTCATGGTTGACCATTAGAACTTAATTAATAAATACACAAATACAAATACAACCCACTAATGATGCTTATTTAATGCAAATGTTCTTTGATAACAGTACTAAATACAGTACCAAAATAGTTTCAATAATTTGCATATAAAGCAATAGTCTCAAAGTTAACAAAAAATGATATTGATATTGATCAAGACAGTATGTGACTTGAAACCAACTTAACATGTGGTCGTAACTGTGTGTAATAAGATTATACTTTTTTTGTACAACGCGAATGTAACTGCAATATGACTTGTATAAGTGTATTTATTTTAAATACACAGTAAATCGACAAGCAAACACCCACTATACGCCTAACGCATGTGAAAATATTAAATATACTACAAAAATCCAAGCATGTGAGCCTTTGTCGACACCACGTGGAACATTCTTATACAAAATTTACCTAACTGCTATAGAAACAGACGCAAAACATGTCCCATTTCCGATTAAAGAAACTAAATAAACAAATAAATAACCGTTTGATTTTTAGTTAGTAACAGTGTCAAAGGAAACATCATAGTGAGAAACCACAAAATTCTTTTCACAAAGGATGTGTTTTGACGAAATTTTCTAAATTAAATTAGCATAATGAAAACCAGGCTACAACATCAAATTATCGGGTCCGCCTCATTGTTCGGAGCTAATTGTATATCCTCATTTCAATGGGCTTATTTTTTTAAATAAAAATAGGCCAACATTGTGGTGAAAAACAATAGAATGTCGAATATATTTTTTAGTACTCCCTTTGATCGAATTAACTTAGTCTGGCTTCGCTTTGTTCGAAATTCCTCTGTGCTCGTATTTTTCTGCTGACGGTTGCTATGGCCGTATTTTAGAATTGCATTTCATTTACTAGTTGTAAAAAAACAATTAGCACGTGTAGAGACCCAGACCTATGCACTTAAGTAAAGTCAACTCCTGATGAAAACATATGAATAGGAACTTAATTTTGTCTGGCAAAATAAACAACAAGAAAATAAATTAGGTTATGTCACGAAAAATGACGTCGAGAAGTTTGTTTCGTTTGGATAACTTTACAAATCATACGCAGAAAATCCATAAAAAATACAAAATGACGTGCTCTTTTCTCCAAAATGAAAAACAAAAGAAATATTCAAGAAAAAATGACACGTCATTACATAATGTGAGTGTGGAGGACGTATCGAGGGATCGTACAATTGTAGGTGTCAATTGCAAACGGTGACGACAATTCCTGCCTCGACTATCTTCTGCGGCCCTGTTACACAACATCGAACTGTCCCGAAAGCTCTTCGTGGGTTTAGGGCTTCTAGATATGTTAAAATATGCTTTGTCAGATAAAATAAGTACAGTAATTAGTTTTGTATTGTAACTACTGTAGCAGCGCGACAGTCGCCGCGTCGCGGGTCGCGAAATGCTGCTCATAAATATGAGCCTCTAGCATGGCTTGAAACTAGTCGAGTTCCTCGTCAAATTATTACGCGAGTAAGGCAAAAACGTAATAATTTATACAGTAATTAGTTATTAAGCGACGTGAATATACGTTAAGAGAAGAAGTTAGGGGAAGAAATTAAAGACTGATGCAGATATCGCTGTGTAGTCTACTTCTTTATTAGAATCATCAAAATTGCTTTCAAGATTCTTTAGAATAATTTCGTAAGACAAGGTTGTATGTGACTATTCAATCTAACCCAACATGGTGCACAATAAACTTACCCTAACAATAAAAGCAAAGCCCATCCAGCATCTAGATCTAGATGCTGTACACAAAAGATTACCTATGTAAAAGGTCTGCTACAGAACCTACAATATGTACAATTGTACAATTCTATATATGTAAATATGTAATCGCTTACCGAATCTTTTGTCTGTGTTCGCTCAGTCCATTGTCTGCACAGAAATGTTTGCCATAATTAGTTTCAATGTATGACTGAAAGCTATTGTTTTATTTGTAAGCTGAAACGTAACGTACAGGTGTCTCCTACAAAAGCTGTTTATGTGACGGTTTCAAAGGATTGTCTCCATCTAATCCCTCCCTATATCTCATAATTAAAGCGGCTCTTATCTGTATTATGTTAAACATATTTCGAGCCTCTTAATTCCTGGATAATTTGTCTTGTTGTGGATAGGTACATATAAAAGTAATTTGTAAAACATTTAAATGTTGAAAGGGACGTGCTCATCATTTTTCTTTACATGTTTAGGGTTGCGGAATAATGGTTAATGTATAATGTTAACAAAATTCATGTTATGTAGGTAATATTAACAACTAATCGTTTATAATTATTAAAACTGTCTCAACACTAAATTAATTATTATGCTTTCGGATTACTCAAGTAGCTGTTTGACACGTGACGCGGCGAGTAGCGCGCGCGCACTCATGTCCGGCAATGCTGCTAAATGAATATGAGCCTCTAGCATGGCTTGAAACTAGTCGAGTTCCTAAACAGTTACGTGAGGAAGCCGAAAACATAATAATTAAACTAATCGTTTATTTACTTGTGCTGAACAATGAACATGTTGAAATGTTTACTTAAAAATACGATTATGTTTTTAATTACATCACGAAATCGAAAATTGACTACAAGATAGCAGTTTGATTCGTTTCTTTGTACAGAGCTAGACGGGTTGATACTTGTAAGAAACACGTGAAGAGAGGTATTGAACTCCTTCGTTATACAAAAGATATAAAAAATAGTGAAGAATGACGTTATGGACGGGTTGTAGCACATTCAGGAGGGACGACTCACGTTAAATCGCACGGGGTTAACCTTTCACGAAGGAATTGTGACGTGACTAGAGGTCTGCTGTAGGCCATGTGTTCCTATTGTGACTAGAGTAATTTTAAGGTAGTTTTCATAACGCTTGCATAATGGTTTAAACCCAAAAAGTTTTTGAGCACATATCTAAAGTTACGTGCTACTTTGTCCATATCTTATCTATACCTCTCCTAAACTGAACATAATTTAGCAATGACTATCTTAATTTGGAGTTTGCCCTTACCGCCCTTGAAACACTAAAAATTAACAACTATTGATTCCAAGGACCTAAGATCAATATGTACATTGTACTTGTATAAACCATGAATTTATAAACAAGACGAAAGAACGTGCTTGATATTTTCACGTTTTCCTGCTATTAATAGATGCTCAATTACTTGAAATTTATTGGGACTAACTATACAGCTGGAAGTAGCTCTACTATACTCCTCTTCGCCTTCCTGTTTGAAGAAAAACATGATATCATGTAATGTTAGGTAAATACAGCCGACATTTACTTCTTGGAACTAGATAAGGACATACTGTTTTAGTTCAATTGTAAGAAATACATTTTTAGTGAATATCACTCGTGGATACGTTGAAGTCTGAAATGAGAAAGGTTGCTAAAAATTATATGAATTATCTTCATCAGATACCTACTTGTAAAAGACTCTTGGGAACTCCAGTGTTAAACTCCTATAAGAGTTTTTCTTTACTAAGCATTATACATACAAATGAGGTCTTTGAGAAACAGATACAATACCTAATACCAGTACGATAGGAAAATACTCATTAACAGATGTAATTCTCAAACTCAAACACAAAAATTATAATGTAATGATGGAGATACATTAATTTGACTTGTTGATTTAATCATTCTAAATATCAACTGTTCTGTGTATATATTTATCTCAAAATATTAGGAACGCTTAAAAATATTTTTGTTTACGCCACAAGACCATAGATTTAAATTAATTGTAAGTGGAAGGCATCACGTGGAGTTTTTATTTGGTCGCGTGATCTTTCCAATTTCTGAAATTTACCATTTATTGTGAAGGCATTGGCAGAGTGTAGGTACAATTTTTTTTAATTGACTACTCGTAGTGGTAGTATTTTTCGATATATAATATAATATAATAATTTTAGTTTTGTAAATAACTTTATGGGGTATTTTTACGGTTGTCTGAACTTGTTTTGAGATCGTTTTTGTAATTATTGGTTTTGAAAATTGTTGATGCTATTTGATGTGTCATTGTTACAGATTGATATGTTTTCCACATTAATTGGTGCATCATCATTAGTCATAACTTCATAAGTAAAACTGTGACGTGAAAATGTTTGAATTTAAATACATTCATACATTCCAGCAACCATGCAATCATCACGATTTCCGGATGAAATTATAAGATATATCCTTATCTAAATCTTAGGAGAGAAAGATTTACAAGTACAAGTCAACCGCAATAAAATATGGGCGCTCTCGTGAATTCCGATGAATCCCGAAGCTTGAAACTTGGCTCACTGATCACGTGTCGATCAATGCCAGAGACGTAGCCGAGGATGGCCAGTTGCAACACCATCGGCGCCTGCGACGTATAAAACGTTCTGACGGACAGGCAAACAGCACGAGTCCTGTCCTAACAGTACAAGCCAACCAACCACCAAAATGATGAAACTTGTAAGTATTAATTTATTTTAATTGTCATCACATTACTTGACAATAAAATCAAGTGTGACTCCTCACAAGGGCTGACTTTGCAAGATATTAAGTAAAATTAAATCCTATTATTATTGTGCAATATGTAAATTTCGAGTACGAAATACAAGGCTACTTTGAGGACAAGTAAACAAGTAGACCTTGCAATATTTACCTACTTACTAACATTGTCATTTTCATGTCTGTCAATCTGTCCGTTTTCTAATCACATCTTTCTGCTTTAGATTGTTGTCCTCGCCGCGCTAGTCGCTATCTCTGCTGCCAAGCCTGCCTTGGTGAGCGCACCCTTAGTGGCGGCGGCCCCAGCTGCGGTTGTCACGGCAACCAGCTCGCAGTACTACCACCGCATCAACAGTGGACTGGCTGCCTACGTTGCCGCTCCTGCTTCATACGTCGCTGCTCCTGCCGCCTACGTTGCTTCAGCTGCTGCGCCCTACGTAGCTGCCCCCTACGTCGCTTCTCCCTATGTTGCGGCTTCAGCCCCCATCGTTGCCGTCTAAACCAACTGACCTCGCTCCGTGATCCCCTTGTGATATTACGATTTAAAGCCAATTGTTGATAAATGAAAGATATTATGAACAGTTTTCTTGTGTTTTAGTAATGATATTACCCAATTTAACAAATGAGGAGTGACTACTTATCTTGGTCAAATGAAAATACCATTGTAAACTAGTGCGATAAGATGTAATATGATTCCAAACTGAAAACTTTTCATAAACCTAGTGTAGGTACTTATTCAGAGGATGCATAGATGCTGATAATTTTATTCCAATAATTAATTAAGGAACTTTTTATTGAAAAAGTTTCTATTTAAAACACCTCACTTATATGAAACTGAAATAGTACCTAGGTATACTATACGTAAAATCCAATTAAATTAGGTATAAACAAACATAATTTTATACCTAACTGCCTACAAGTAATACTCAAGTAACAGAGAACACGTGACATTTATAAATACCTAAACGAACACCTAAATTAATTGGTGGGGCCTTCAAAGGCGGCTTATTGAAATCGAACATTTCAATCAAAAATAAACTTCAGCGAATCACTAGTACGGTACCTACGTAGACGTGCCGCCGTACGTATATTGAGCAAAATGTGTAAACAACACAACAAAGGAATCTTTGCCACCATTTTTGTACGAAAAATGTGTAAAATAAACATTTTGGATACAAAGTCTCGTTAGTCAAGTGGTCGCAAGTGGAACTGTCGATGTTTCTCAAAAGTCCAAAACAAAAAAAAACACGTTGAACCAAATTGTTACACGTGAACACAGATCTGATATAACATTTTTTCAAGGACCTCACGAAATCGGGCGTGAATCTCTGACATTTTTATGCTTCGCATGTGTTGAACAATTTAATAAATATTTACTTTCCTTGTTTTGTTCTAACGAGAAGCCATTCTGACAAGGGTGCTTCTTTGAGTCAAAGAAAGTATGAGTCACGGAATTAAATCTAAGTAAATCTTCTTATTTTAGTGGTTGCACGGTTTACCCTGATAATTTGTTTTACCTGATAGGAAAAGCCGCCTCGAGGCCAACCCAACTTGAGCAAGCGTGGTGATTAATGCTCAAACCTTATCCTCGTGAGAAGAGGCCTTTGCTCAGCAGTGGCACTTGTAGTATAGGCTGTTGATGTAAGAGAAAAGGTCCTAGAAAGGGAGACCTTTTCAATACTGGCGCTTTTTTTTCGATGTTATCAAATCTTTTTGTATGATATCTAGAAATCCGCTTCCAATTACGACGGAACGAATGAAATGGCTGGTAGCAAAGTGGATACTTAAGACTCCGCTTAAGCGTACGTGTTGTTTGCGACATTATGACAAGAGTACCTATACAAATTTTCAACATAAAGAAATCAAAGTAACATTAAAATTAATTTGTCAAATTGCCTTACAATACGTATTGATGTTCGTATCCGTAATTGAATTATTTGTTCGACGGCAAGGCTTTTTTCAGTAGGCACTTATTGAGGCTTTGAATTAATGTTATTGGCACAAGGTCTTTTGAAGGTCTTCGGGATTCCACTTGTTTTGTTGTAGAAAACAGGTCTAGGTTATCTTATATTCTTGTACCTATCTGGAATATCCCTTTCGAGCGAATGACATACATGTCAACTAGTACATTTACTATACGTTTTAGTAAACATCAACAAGTCAACAAAGGAAATAAGGATGTAATACATAAACCGAAACAATAATGTAAATTATTTATTAGTACCTACCCTACACTATATAGAAGAAAATTATGAAAATGATGAAGGTTCGTCTAAAAAGTTTACCTATTAAATATATCTGTTATTCCTAAGTAAGAACTTACTCACTCTACTCTAAGAAGAGTATTTAAAGAAATAATCTAAGCCTGGGTTTTATAACAATTTTGGCATTCATGCTAATAAATGATTCTTTATGTATCTGGCACAAAACCCGGAGAATACAGATAAATAAATAGTTAAATAAAATTGAACAAACTTACAAACATAGCGCCATGAGTTTTTAAGATAATATTATTGTGACATGCTTGCTTAGCTTACTACGAATTATGGTCACTGATGGAAATGCAGATATTTTTAAGTGATTTTCTAGAACAAGTCAAATAATGTTAGGTTTGTATGTACCTGAGTCGTCGTGGCCCGGAGGTTTAAGACGCCCACTTCTCATGCATGAGGGTGCGGGTTCGAAACCTACCAAAGGCAAGTACCAATGTGACTTTTTCCGAGTTAAATGTACTTTCTAAGATTATTTAGACACCACTGACAAACGGTGAAGGAAAAACATCGTGAGGAAACCTGGACTTATAATTTCTAATTATAAGTTTGAAATCGCCAACCCGCATTGAGCAAGCGTGGTGATTAACGCTCTAACCTTCTCCGTGTGAGAAGAGGCTTTGCTCAGCAGTGGGCATTTATAGGCTGTTGATGATGATGATGATGTATGTACCTATAAAACCGTAGTAGGTATAACTATTTGACAACTTACCATTACGTTTCATGTTTTTTTTTATACTTGATGGGGCGACGTATGATGACTGTCTCGCCTGGTGGTAAGCGATGATGCGGTCTACGATGGATCACGTCGTCCTATAAGACTACTAATTCATACGGGCCTTGAAGACACCCAGATTATTCAGGAAATACAGACTCTGGCAAAGAATTCCACTCCTTAGTACAATAGAAACTTACCTATTTATATTTTCCATTCCTTTGTTTAACTACTTTATTACTGTAGGTACTATTTACTTAAACTGTTAATTACATATACATATAACTTCGAGTATATTTAAATTTCACTCAAGAAGCCATAAACGTAAAGTTTGTTTTTGTTTCAATGCCAATAGGTGTGAAATGTTTTCGTTCGTATCGCAGCGCCTGATAGATATTGCTTTCATATACTTGAGAAGCAATTTAAAGTCTATTGGATTGTATGCAGGCGTTGTAAGAAATATAATTGCTGTTGTATGGTGATAGCTCATAATCAAAACATGAGTAGCCTAACAAGGAAAAAAATACGTTCAAGTAAAAAATAACAAAATAATAAAATTACTTTTAAATCATTTCGAAACTGTATATTAACGTATCTAATTGAGTAAAACCTCTTCCTTTGTATAGTAAAATTAATTTGACTGACTGACTTGAGACCAAGGCGAGAGAGAGAGAGAGAGAGGAAGAGGAATATAAAAGAAATTTTGTCTCTCTAACTCTGTTATAAGAGTCATAATTGTATATTTATTTTAAAATTAGTTTGTTGTTACACATGAGCGTGTTAGTATACTTATTATGTCAGGCGAGAACTTGAAAATAAACAAACAATTTTAATAAGTTAACTGCATAATTTAAAGTAGGTACCTTGTTATCTTTTTCTAGTAGTGTTTATATTATAAATATTACAGTTAAACGAAAGAAAACCAAATCAAATCTCAATCTCAAGGCAATTCATCGTAAGATTTTACTATAAGTCTACCTATTCTATAACATTGCAAAGGCTAAATATTTCAAATAATAAATAAACAACAACACAAGTAAACAATAACCTTGAAATACATCTACAAAGGCCTTACAATTTTCTCATAGATATTTTCTACCTTAAAACTTTAATTAATTTATTTTGCATAGCCTTTTGTTTTGTTCATGTCTATTATGGTATAAGTGTAAAAACTTTTTGGTCATGTTTTGCGGAACCTTCTGTTATTTAGGTCTATATTCCCCGTGGTTGTGTTCATCTGCCCACGCGGTGTGGGTAGTATCTTTGTTTACAATTTTCAAGTAATTGTACCACCTCAATGGACGAGTGGTAGCTATTGTTAGTTTTCTTTTCTGATTTTCAGTAGTAACGCGTTGTTTGGGATGGCTCGTGCATCTTTCAAGGAGTAGTAATAAATAGACTATGAAATAATTCTATTTCGGCTAATTGTAAAAATACGACATGGCCTTTCCCCTTGTAGGGAATGGGCCACAGATGGGGATAAGAGGCCGAAACTCCCTCTAGCCTAACCCAAAGCGAGAGAAGTTATTGGATGATTTTCCCACTCAAAAAAGAAATTTCTATTACAAGTATTATTATTGTCCTAAACAATACCCTCAAGTATACCACCCTCCTAGTTTAAAGCCATTTTTAGGTTTTGTATTCTGTTTCTGACTAACTGTCTGTGATAGATATTCGTATGCCAACCGCGACCAATGAGTAATCAAGTATTGAACATTTAATAGTACTAAAGTTATTTTACAGACGTAATTGAAAAAAATATACAGTCACTATGAAGTCTACATTTGACGAACAGGGTCTTACTACTTCACTGAAAAGTGATCTCATGAACTGAATACATCTGAGAAGTATTTTTGTAAGAAGCCTAATTTTAAGCGGCTTTTATAGTACGACAAATATAACTCCTTTATACTTTTCCGGCACGCATTTAAGGTACATTACTTGACACCCACTGCTTCATAACACGTGCTGCTACGTGGTGCCGTACCCCGTAGTACGCAAAACCTGCTCCAATTTTAGTAACTTTTAAAAGGAAAACATATTATGTCCATAAGTATACTTCTTTAACAAAATCCTTCAAAAGCAAAAGGTAAACAACGTCGTAGTACTCTCTTGTAGGATAAGTGGACGTTATAGCGACTGCTGAGTAAGGTGCCTCAGATTCAATCACCGAGTCGAGCATAGTTTTTGAGTGTTTAGTAAGTACAGATTGGTTTGCCGGTCTATGACCAAATATTGTATTATATAACGTATTAGTAAGTATTTATAATAGTAACATACGTAATTAAAGAAAATCGAAACCAAATTGACATACACGTTCATTCGAACTGACACGAATTGGTACAATCACTGTACAGAATAATACGTTCATTGAAACGTGAGAAAATGTTTCGATAGATTTTCCTCTTAAAAGGATAACCACTTGCATTCTAGAGGTATAGATTCGTAGCATTTAGTATACAATCGTACACCAATACGAACACCCGTATGAACTGTGTCTAATCTGTAATGGATTAGCTCAGGGATTTAAGAAAGCTGATCCGTTATTTCAACTTCTGTTCATCAGTTTGCTATATATGTCAATTAAGCAA